CTCTCCCCGCGCTGAGCTCCCAGCCCGGTGCGCTGGGGCCGCCGGAGCCGCCGCTGCTTTCCGTGGTTATTTTCTGTCTGTTTCCCTGTCTGTTCCGTATCTGACGCGCTGCTATTTTGTTGTGTTTCCTCGCAGAAACGTTTCATTAAGGGCTTGAGGCAGTACGGCAAGAACTTCTTCAGAATCCGAAAGGAGTTGCTGCCCAACAAGGAGACTGTAAGTACATCGCGACTTTACGTAATTTGCTTTTTTTTTTTTTTCCCCTCTCTCCGCGTTTCATCTCACGAAGCTGTTTCCTTTTCGCCCCGATTTCTCTTCAGATAAAGGGAAGAGAAATCCACAAGCAGCCAAGGTAGCTGTTAATTTTCAAGCGCAGTTTGTAGGTCTTAGGGCACGAAAGATGTTACATAAAAACAGTCGTCACGGCTGGACGGAGCCGCCGAGGTTTGGGCGAAGTGTATTTGTGGAGAGCAAATCTAATTTTAAATGCCGACACGACGATGGGATAATACATTTATGTCGCCCAGTCGGGGCTCGAATGGCATCGGGTAATTAAAGAAAGCCTAAAACAAAACAAAACCTAATTGAATCGGGAAGCCTTGAGGTATGTGGCTGTGACCTGCAGGATCGGGTGGTTGTGTTTAACTCTTGGCGTTCCTCGAGTGTGGGCAGGGCTGGAGCTCCTGGGGATGGATCTGTGGCTCATCACTCTCCTGAACTTCCTCAGCCTTATGGATCTGTCATTCCTCTGAACCCCCTGGCCAGGGCCTCCAGGGAGGATGGACAGGGAGGAGTGCTTGACTCTCCTTCAAAGGAGCTTTGGGAAGCTTTGGGAATCTGGTTACTTTTCCACGAAGTTGCCAAAAGCTGCTCTAGAAGCTTCGGTTTCTGTTCTGCAGGTGTCCCTTAGCTGCTGGGAGGGTCTGGCAGAGCAGTTTTTCATGCTTGAGCTGAATTTAGAAGGGAGGTAACTCCGTGGCTATTTTCTAGCAGTGTGTTAGCGATCTGGAAAATGTTTATTTAAAGCCTAACTGGTTGTTTGGGCTGTGGTAGGTGTGGAATTCGGGTGTGCAGTGGGGGAAGAGCTTTACTGTAAATGTATTTTCAAACCTGTCACTTGCTGTAGGATGTTTCCATTCTCCTCTGAGCTGTTCTTGTGAGACAGTGCTGTGATAGCACAATCTTTTGGTGGTAAATAGTAACACTGCATAACCCAAATAGGAAGGGGAGGATGAAACAGTTCCTGGAGTATCTGTGCACTGATTTTGTTGGGGAAGGAAGCTTAATTACTGATCAAGTGTCAGTAGACTTTGCTTTAGGATTCTGCTGGATTTGAGGCATGAAGGCCTAGTGCTGGGAAGGTGACAGCAGAGAGGGAATGCTGAAATAGGATGGATCTTTGCAGCACCTAACTCAAGCAGTGCTTTTCCTTAGAACATCTCCTAAGACAGAACAATTTTAGAACCAATAGATGGAACAATTTATCACCTTAGGACAATTTTAGAACCATTCTGCTGCTGGTGAAGTTCCTGAGAGGCAGAACTACTCTTGGAAGTTCAAATGACAGCAACTCTGAAATCTACTGGGGGTTTATAAATTTCCATTTCTGTTTTAAATATAAAATGTGGGTGTTTTTGTGATGGAGGAAAACATTTTGCAGGTGCAAGGGCAAGAAAAACTAAAGAACAGAGAGTTGGGGCAGGTGTCTGACCCTGTTTGTGCTACTTCAGTTCTACCTTGGAGCTTGGATGTCAGGCCTAGGGCTGCTTAAAAGTCATGCAAGCTGTTTTAAGCCTCATATAAGCTATCACTTTTCAAGTGTTACATTTTGGTTTCATTAGGTTTAATTTTTTTAGTACAGAGAAGACTAAATATTAAGTCTGAGCTGTGGGAAGCAGCGACTCGCTGGGTTTGGGCTCCTTGTTTTAGCCCCTTGTGGTAACTGATCTGCAAATAACCTTTGCCCTACAAGGGGTTGTTTAATCTCTGCTTCCTATTTTTGCCCACAGGTCTCACTTCTGCTTTCTTTTTAAATTCCCAGTCTTTTTCAGCCAGAAATTAAAACAGTTTTGCTACAGTGAGACATTGCAGAATAAAGGCTGCACTAAATATTTGACTCTCCAGCTTTGCTTGTCTTCCTTAAAATGGTATAATAAATAATGTGAATTATAAGACTTTGGAATTAATTTGTCTATATTTTTTCAGCACCAAAATAATTCCAGATACTTTGCCTGCCATTTTTTTATTGCAAGGTGAAGTTAACCCAGTTGCAATTCCAGAAACACTAGAAATAAGGCCTTATTTTCCTCATTACCCACCATGTTAACATGAGGGGAAGCTCTAAAAATTATTATATGGATGCAAAAACACTAGAGCAGCTCCCAAGTTCTGCAAAATGAGGAAATGAGTTAGGGGAATTCTTGGAGTGACTTGGCCTAATAGCTCAATACATCTCATTTATTAAGAGTTTACCTTCCTAGTCACTGAAGGCTGTGGGGAGGGGAGTTAAATCTCCTTATTATCCTGATTTTTCTACAGTCTCTGCCTTTCTAGGCACTTCAGTTCCTACCCCTTGCTCTGGGGGAGAATTCTCCCTAACATCACCCTCAGTTCAGTGGTTGGCACATAGAAATGGTGGAAGATAAGGAGTACAAGAGACACAGAATTCTCTGTGTTTGTGTTAAATCCAGCTGAGGCTGCTGTGCAGAAAGAATATAGAGGTGAATATGACATTGTATTTCTTTCCTAGTATTGGAAGGTGTAAAGTGGCCTCTGTGAGAGATGAGAATTAGGCCACACTGTACTGAGCTTCACAAGTGTGTTAAGGAATGTCCTATTTGAGTTGTGCCTTGACTATTTCCTCCATACTGAACATGCAATATCTTTTAAGAAAACCTTGTGTTACTGGGTGTTTCAACTAGTTTGACATAGTTTCTTGCAATATTTTTTGTTTTTTCTAAATGAATAGCAAGCAAGAAAAAATGCTGTAAGAAGGAAAGTGTTTGTTTAGGTCTTCACTCTTGCAGTTTGTTTCAAAGTGGATGTCCAAGAGGCCTTTCCAGTGGAGATCAGGGTAAATAGCTCTGGCATTTCCTTCAAGCTTTTAGAGGCAAGAGGCACAGAACTAAAATCACATGTTACCTGGGAATGCTCAGGTGGATCAAGGAAAACCAGTAGCTTTAAGTCTGGATCAGCAAGTGTTAAAGCTTCTCATGCTCTGGAGAAAAAGTTCCTCCATGTAGATGAGCCATGACATTTTTCAATCAAACTGCTGAAACTTCCTTGGGTTTCCATTGAACTCTGTCTTAAATACAACTTCTCCTCTATTCCCATGTATTTTCCTTCCTTTCCCCTTCCTCCTGAGTAGTTTTCTCTCAGTTGTAGCTGTGCTTGACTGACACAGTTGATGAACTGCTCTCATTCGGTTCATGCTTAGCTGCACTTCTGATTCTTCTTCATGGTAAGCCAAGAAGTAAATTTTAAAGGCTTCTATGTGACACAAACAGTTTCCATTAATAACTTCCACTGAAATTCACATCTTGGGAGTGGAAGGTACAGAGCTGGCAGCAGTTTCCTTAAGTATCTGATCTGGCTTTAAATGGAGTTTTATTCCCCCCCCAACTCCCCTGATTTGGGATAATTTGCTAAAACTTTGTGATAATGCAGGATTTTCCAAGTATTTAACATTCTGCTCTGAATTCCTGAGGTGATTACGCTGAGCTACTTGAATTTGAGAGTTTTAGAAGCCCCAGCATTGTGATAGGCCTGAGATAAAAGTACTTAAATGTCTCCAAGGTTGGGAATTGACTTAACTGTGCTCTTGGAAATAGCTTAACTCTGTGTTAGCTACTGCAGAAGGTAAATAGAAACGTGGAATGAACTTGAGCTTGTGCAGAGCAGCAATGTCCATCAGAGCAGGAGGAGGAGGATGCCAAGTCATGGTGTCAGTTTGCTGGGATCCAAAGTTCCCCCCAGCCTGCCCCTGTGCTGCTCACTCAGAAACACTTGTGGAAGCCTCAGGGTGCAGTTTCAGTTTGATTGAAGGCCACAGTCCCAGGAGCAGCAGGATTGTTTCCCTCTGGTTGGAATTTCTGCAGGCTGCTCTGTCGGAGGTGGTGTGTGACCAGAGGAGCTCAGACCTCATGGTGCTTACTTGGCTGCTAGAACCAGAGGGAGATGTTTGTGGTCATCCCTTCCGTGGGTCCTAGAGGAATTACCATCTTACACCATCAGATGGTCATGAATTGAGGTTTTAGAACCATCTTGTCTTCCACAGGTATAGGACTGAGCACTTCTGACCTCTCCTACCTATTAGAACTGGGGGTGACACTGATCTGACTATTTTGAGGTTCTCAAATGGCTCTTGTGTTCTTCAGGGCCAGTTTTATGGTAAGGATTGTGCCCTTGGTCTCGTCTGCTTGTCTCTTTCCTTGGCAGGCTGAGGCTCCTCAGTGAGCCTTGCAGAGCTGCTTGCTTAGCAAGAAGTCTAAAAAGAGGACAGAGGATCTTTGTGGAGCCACACAGACTCTGGTCTAATTTTATTTAGAATTTCCCTGTTGAGCACATAGGTATCTGTGGTGTGTGTGCTTTTTGGTTTGGCTGCTGAGCAGGAGATGACAGAGTGCAGTCAAAAGATCTTGCCTTGGGCTGGATGCTCCTTTATTTAGCTTTAAAACACAGTGTAAATAGAAGTTATGAACATCAGCTGTTTTCCTCGGATGGAAATACCTGCACTGTGCTGTATCCATGCCCATAAGAACTAAATATGCATCATTTCTTCAGGAGAAATAGTCTCTTTTCTGATAGTAAAACCTTTCTCTCCAAATTAAACGCTGCTGGGGCTTACCTCAGAGACGAAATAAGCTGTGCTGTGTTAATGTTAGGAGACAAAATGAGTGCAGTGTGAGCTTTCAGCATAAACTTGTGTTTAATTTTAGATTGGGGTTTAGATAAACAATTTTTACTCTTGCCTCATTAATGCTTAATCTTGTGTTACGTAATACACAATATTGGCTTCCTGAGTAGCTCTTAAATATAGTGCAAATGTGTAGTAGCTGAAAGGTCAGTGCAGTTGCCATATGTGCAGGTTGGCAAGGTGTCTCTCCTCTCGGGGGGCAGACTGTGGCAGGAATATCCAGCAGCCTCAGGAATATTTGTCCACAACTCTCCCAAAGGTAAAGCTCCTCCCTCAACACCGTTGTTCAAATAGCAGTTTT